CCGGGAAGGACAGGTGCTGTGTGATTAGTACGCAGCCCCCGTCCTTCTCTATGGGGCTACGCGGCCGTACGCCCCCCTACGCTCACCTCAATTGCCGTAGGGGTGCGGGTGATCGTATTCATACGCCGCTGGAATGGATCCTGTATGCGTCCCGGCCAGAAAAGCCGCACCCCTACGGACCTGCAATTGAGGTGAGCGTAGGGGGGCCTACGGCCGCATAGCCCCATAGAGGACGGGGGCTGCGTTCTAATCACACGCAGCACCTATCCTTCCCGGCAGCTGCTTGGTACGGCCCCGCACGGAGCTGTACGTGCCTGCCGATTCGTGTGTGAATGGGGCCTAACACGGGTTGACGCTGCGTTACCGATCACATGGATATCCATGTGCTAATTCAACCAAAGTGACTGAGTGTAAAGGAGTGTTCGATTTCTGAGCATAAAATGTAATACTATTATTTTGTGACTACTTTTGTTATGTAAAAAGAAAAAAAATCATACACACACATACACTCTTTCAAATGGATTTCATTATTTTACACACATATTAGACATATAATACTATAATAAAATATTTAGAATCTATAGACTGTTCAGAAAAAAAATCAAAAAAATTTGCAGTTGAATCACCAAAACTATTAACAATTTTGGAACATTAACCGCAACAAAGATCCAAATCAGCTTAACAGACTGTTTAGCACGCAAAAAAAATAAACAAACTTTCCCTTCTGAATAGGTTATAACCCATATTTTCATGCGTGTGTGGTGAGAAAAGCAGAGGAAAAGCGTACCAGACATTAGAACAACAACAACAAAAATGGAGGAAAAGCTGGTAGGAAATTATGAGAGAGGGAGACTAACCTACATACTCTCAGGAGATTTTTAAAGTCAGAACTGGTAATCCAGAAATCAAACATGAATTAACATGTTGTGCTACGAGACTAAATATGTGTCTATATTTTGAGATAGCCTATTTCCGGGTGGAATGACCAGACCGATGACCGGTAAAGGGGGTGATCGACCCAAAGAGAGACCTGGCTGCCAGAGCTTCCAGAGAAGATGACCCAATCGACAGAGGGAGACACCCAACTACCCGACCGTCAAGAAAGGAGATCGTATGGAGAATCCTGAAGCTGATGTCTACACCAGCCTGTGCCAGCCTCATCGCCAGACCAGGGTCTTCATCGGGGATACTCGTCCAAGAGGCACCCGGGTTCATCCTGACTGACAAGCGAATCATCAGCCAGAAAGTCTGCGTCAGCGTCGATCCTAAGACCTCCACAGAGACGCTACGACCCTCAAAGCATCCAATCTCCGCAGATCAAAGAGTGCTATGCCATGAACCTTAAGAGAGCACAAATACGAGTTAAGGAAATACTTACCCAAGCTCAAACCGGTATCTGCCATCGGTGGGAAACTACCTAAGAGATTTATTGGAGCTTTGCTTGCCAGCCTTATATTCTCAGCCTTAGGAACTGTTTCTACAACCATATCTGCTGCTAATGCTGTCTCGGTAAAGACTCTCAAACAGAGATTCAACATCTACAAATGAGCATAAAAGCCATTCATCTTGAACTTGAGACTCTGAAAGCGGGGTTAATGGACTTATTTGCCGTTCTAAATGACACTGTCGTCACTGTCAAAATGCTCTCGGAACTGCACGCCGGCATCATTCTTCAGAGCTGGACACCCCCCCTTCTTCAGAGCTGGACAGTTCAGCTATCTCAGTGCAGATTTAAAACTATCAGGACTATTCACTAAAGGGTGAAGAGTTTGGAGAAGGCCGGAGAAGGGAACAATCTAGGACAGCATAGCTGAACTGGAAAGTCAACTGAATTGGAGAATTTTTCCAGATCAGCTATGCTCTCCGAGATTGTTCTTCTCCAGCCTTCTCCAAACTCTTCATCCTTTTGGGAATAACCCTGTGTGTGTTCCATCATTGACCTCTATAGGATTGAAAAACACGCCAATCACAGGATAGCATTCAGTTGCCTGCCTCTGGATTGTCTTTCTGACTGCTCCTCTGATTTGCACATGAGAAACGTCATCCAGGAATTTGTGTTCATTACGTGTTAAACCTTGCTTCCTTTTGTGAGGAGAACTATTTACTTATCTCTTTTGGCAAAATAAAAAGAGTTTCGCACCAGGAAAGGCGCCCGGTGGTTGTCTTTTGTTTTATGCAGTGCACGATATCCCTTGTCTGAAACGGGGCAGCCTTGCTGGATTGCAGGTAGTACTTCTGGTCCAGAGGAGTGTTCTTTTTGGGGCTGGTCTGTTTTTTTTCTTTGGAATAGTTATATAATTAGGCGGGTGGGTTATATAATTAGACGGGCGGACGGGTTATATAATTAGACGGGCGGACGGGTTATATAATTAGACGGGCGGACGGGTTATATAATTAGACGGGCGGACTGAAAGACATAGATAGATGGATAGACAGGTTGGTAGGTAGATAGAAGGAAAGACAGTTAGATTTAAGCCTGGACACCATCCTGCCTCGCTCAGGAGTCCGTAGGAGTCAAATGTATGGGCATTACGTACAGTATGTACATTAGACACGTACTTTTTTAATCCAGATCTGTGGGTGAGAGGAGTGCATCAGCGGCGTTCTGGCCTTGATGACATGCTGCCTCTGTAGGGTGTCTGAAGGACTGGTGTCACCTCGCTATGTAACCATACAAATATATGATCAATACCTATGTAACATAGACATATGCATTTCCTATGCACTCTGGGAAAGACAGGTTAAAAAATGGGCTCTGAGACCAATTATAAAGTTCTATACAGTTGGTACATGGTGCCCAGTCGTCTGCCCCATGTTATAGCTGGCAGCTCACCAAATTGCTTCAGAGGTTGCCCAGTAAGAGGGGACTATCTCCATATATGGTGGAACTGTCTGATAGCCCAAAGGCTCTGGTCACAGGTGAACACGATACTTAGTATCCTCACCAAACGAAGCATACACCTGACCCCGGGGGAAGCATTCCTGAATGTTAGGCCACCTGACATATCTAAAAACGAATTTCGACTCCTCACCCACGTCCTCATGGCGGCAAAACAGGTTATAGCCCACACCTGGCTCTCTCGAGTATCGCAGCAGTTAAAAACAGGATCCACTGGACTATGATCAATGAGAAGCTAACCGCAAAACTACTCAACAGCCTGCCCAAATTCAATAGGGTATGGGAACCATGGGTTGCCAATTTCTTACCACCGAACTTTGATAGAACTTTGCTGGATACATGATTCGGAAATCCATCCCCCGATAGTGCGTGCTCCACACCAAGCGATACTCCCGGGCGTCACTGTCCTCAACTTCCTTCCACCTCACCCCCTACCTTCCCATCCTACCTCCTTTCCCCCTACTTTCTTCCCTGCAACTGTCCCCTTCTTCACTAGGACTGTATAACAGCCCTCCCCCCCCATTATCTTTCGCCTCCCTTTTCTATACTCTCCTGCTAAAATCTTTCCAAAACCTTGGTTACAGCCAGTCTGCTCGGCTAGACTGACACGTTCATCCATCAGGTGGCGACCATCAGCAATTGACCATAAATGTTATGTGCATGCTGAAATGAACATAGAAAACACGCTGTGCTACTGTAATAAACGCTATGTGCTGTTACTACTCAATGTCTGTAATACGAGTGCTGTCACCTGTACTGGATAACGAATGTTCGTAACGGAACGAAAATACGTCAACGGAATTTCGTATTTCCTGCCTGTATTGTAATGCAACTGTCAGCAGCAGAAGAGAAAACCTCTGATTGGTCAACCAAACGAAATACGAATTCCGTTAACGGATTCCGTATCCGGATTTCGGATTTAAAAAAAAACTACCATCAACTCCAATATAAATGTACTTTGCTTTTTAACTTCAATATAACGAATGTTCGTAACGGAACAAAATACGTCAACGGAATTTCGTATTTCCTGCCTGTATATTGTAATGCAACTCTCAGCAGCAGAAGAGAACCTCTGATTGGTCAACCAAAACGAAATACGAATTTCGTATTTCGTATTAAAAAAAACTACCATCAACTCCAATATAAATGTACTTTGCTTTTTAACTTCAATATAACGAATGTTCGTAACGGAACGAAATTCCGTCAATGGAATTTCGTATTTCCTGCCTGTATATTGTAATGCAACCCTCAGCAGCAGCGGATACATATTTCTGATTAAAAAAAAAATCTTGTCATGTTCAACCTCACAGGGGTAATATTAGTTCCTGTTTCAAAGAAATTCGGATCCGAAATTCGTTAACGGAATTTCGTATTTCGGATATAATTCGGAAACTGCAATTAGGACTTCGGATGCTTCCGAATTTACGAATTTCAGGAAAATTCGTACGAATTTCGATTCGTAACAAAACGAATCGCACATGTCTATTTTATAGGTGTCACCGAAACGTCCCGTCTTTGTTGCCTGTCAAGTTACTAGACTGTTCTGCCTCTCCAATCAATCTCTATAACTTACAGTTGTGGCGAGATAGCGACAACCAACAATCTTAGCTCCGTTGGCAGGCAGTGACTCCATCCAGAAGACACCTCGAAGATCATTGAGAAGTTTGATTCAAAACTTATAACAGTGAACATCGGATAGGTCAAAAGATCCTAATGTGATCCACTCAATGAAATGACACGTGGCTGAGATGCAAACTGGACCAGAATGAGGAAGGGTGGAGCTATCTATAGAGAGGAAAACTGAGCTACGGGGAGCGGAGGAGAAAAACACCGGGGACAGATAAAACACATACAATATTTACAGACCTATCACAATGCATGTGAAACATGACCATAACATTTTGACAATGCTTTAAATAAACGCCATCAAGGTAAGTAAAATCCCTCTTCCTGATGACCACCATTTTTATTTTATACCCTACAGTTGTTCTATGGACTATCTTACGATTGTTCTATGCACTAAACAGTTCCACCTGTGAGAAGCCTTCTTATTGTCATAAGAACCAGCTGGCGCTGTCTATTTAGACTCATTTTCCCGCAGTCAGTGAGGACGCTCCGCAGTATGTTTCTCGGTGAAAGATTTGCTGCAGTCTGAACATGAATAAGGGCGCTCACCCGTGTGAATTTTATGGTGGTTAACAAGGGTTACTTTCTTGGTGAAAGATTTCCCGCACTCTGAACATGAGTAAGGTCGCTCACCTGAATGACTTATCTGGTGTATAACAAGGGCTCCTTTGTAAATGAATGATTTCCCGCACTCTGTGTTTTTCACCTAAATTTCACCTGTGTGAATTTTCTGGTGTTGAACAAGTGCTGATCTATAAGTGAAAGATTTCCCGCACTCTGAACAAGAATAAAGTTGCTCACCGGTGTGAAGTCTCTGGTGATTAGCAAGGTTTCCTTTCTCAGTGAATGATTTCCCGCACTCTGAACATGAATAAGGACGCTCACCAGTGTGAACTCTCTTGTGTTTAACAAGTACTACTTTATAAGTGAATGACTTCCCGCACTCTGAACATGAATAGGTTCCCACAGCTGTGTGAACTCTCTTGTGTTGAACAAGTGCAAATTTAGAAGTGAAAGATTTCCCGCACTCAGAACATAAAAAAAGGACGTTCAGCCATGTGAATCCTGTGGTGTTTTCCAAGGGCTCCTTTCTCAGTGAATGATTTCCCGCACTCTGAACATGAATAAGGATGCTCACCAGTGTGAATTTTTTGGTGTTGAACAAGAATTCCTTTCTGAGTGGAAGATTTCCCGCACTCTGAACAAGAATAGGGACGCTCACCTGTGTGAACTCTCTTGTGTTGAACAAGTGCAAATTTAGAAGTGAAAGTTTTCCCACACTCTGAACATAAAAAAGGACGTTCACCGGTGTGAATCCTGTGGTGTTTTCCAAGGAAACCTTTCTCAGTGAATGATTTCCCACACTCTGAACATGAATAAGGATGCTCACCTGTGTGAATTTTCTGGTGTTGGACAAGTGCTGATCTATAAGTGAAAGATTTCCCGCACTCTGAACAAGAATAAAGTTGCTCACCGGTGTGAAGTCTCTGGTGATTAGCAAGGTTTCCTTTCTGAGTGAAGGATTTCCCGCACTCTGAACATGAATAAGGACACTCACCAGTGTGAATTCTCAGATGTTGAATAAGGGCTCCTTTGTCAATGAATGATTTCCCGCACTCTGAACATGGAAAAGGACACTCACCAGTGTGAATTCTCTGGTGTATAACAAGGGCTCCTTTCTCAGTGAATGATTTCCCGCACTCTAAGCATGAATAAGGACGCTCACCAGTGTGAATTTTCTGGTGTTGAACAAGAATTCCTTTCTGAGTGAAAGATTTCCTGCACTCTGAACAGGAATAGGGACGTTCACCCGTGTGAATTCTCTTGTGTTTGTTAAGGGCTCCTTTACGAGTGTAAGATTTCCCGAATTCTGAACATGAATGAGGTCGCTCACCTCGGTGAATCTTCTGGTGTTTAACAAAGTCTCCTTTGCGAATGAAACATTTCCCACACTCTGAACATGAATAGCTTCGCTCATCCATGTTAATACTTTGGTGTCTAAGAAGGTTTTTGTTTTCAATGAAAGATTTACCACACACTGCATGTGAGAAAAGATTTTCACCTCTGTGATCTCCTTCGTGGGGTGAGGAAGATTCCTTGGGATTAGATGGATCTCTTGCGGTATGAGTTCTTAAATTGTTATTTCCAATCATAGTATGTGAATGGTCAGAAGATTTACGCTGATCAGAGGGATTTATTGATGTCTCCAAACAGTACGGTCTGTGGTTTATATTTTGCGTGTTTGGATTCACTCCTGGAGAATCCTGTGTGATGGCATTATCTTCTGGGTTACAATCGTCAGATAATATAAGATGTCTCCCCGAGGTATTCCTGACATCACATCCATCTGCTGCAGAGAAATGATTCAATAATGTAAAAATGTCAGTAATAAGATTCATATATATTGGTCTAGAAGTCAACGGATTCACAGAGCTCTGGAGAATAAGAGAGATGGACCTTTTGCTACATACTTTTGTGGAAACATGACGTTATATTGAGGAATGGACACGGTCCTTTCATATGGTGTACAGTATCTCCTCCTCATTTGTTGGTCACATGACGTTATATTGAGGAATGGAGACGGGCCTTTCATATGGTGTACAGTATCTCCTCATTTGTTGGGGACATGACGTTATATTGAGGAATGGAGATGGACCTTTAGTATGGTGTACAGCATCTCCTCCTCATTTGTTGGGGGATATGACGTTATATTGAGGAATGGAGACGGGCCTTTCATATGGTGTACAGTATCTCCTCCTCATTTGTTGGGGGACATGACGTTATATTGAGGAATGGAGATGGACCTTTCATATAGTGTTCCGACACTTCATTTCATTTATACGAACATTAAGTAGCATAAGAAAAGAAAAAAACAACTTCTGAGCACTAGAGATTGCTCTACCATATGATTTTCAATAACTCCTCCTCCTTTGTATGGATAAGTGGTGGGGTAGGAATATAAATAATTATTTTATTTTAACAATAATAGATTTTCGTCTTCACTGTAAAATCATGTTCTCTCATTGGGTGACACAGCATTTGAATTCTGGATATATGTCCTGCCTTTGGAATATTGGAAATTGGGGAAAAATAAAAGCTACATCTCCACATAGTGGCTATACCTGTGTACAAACTGTGCAAGCCCAGGAGTAGCAAGCGGTGAACAAATGACTGGGGGAAAAAATAACCTTCTTCAACTATCATCTTAATTACGGGCAACAATGTACAACAAATGATGGTCAGGATATGTGAACCTTCAGGAACTACTGGAGAAAATGGTTAAACAATGAGTAAAAAAAAAAGTAAATTTTTCTCCCATTGTTAGTTCGGGGGACACAGCGTCTGATCTCAATCAAAAAGTCGTTCCTTAAAATGAAGAGGAAAAAAATAAAACCAAAAGATAACCCTCAGATATCATTGTGTGACGGAATCTCACTGATGCCTGTAGGAAACTACATCCAAAGTGGCATTGGATGCTGTGGTTATAAACCCCTGAACTAAAGGTGCTTACCTCGCATACCTAGGAGACAGATGCCTGATGGAAAAAGGATGTATGATGAACTTATGGATCCAGTGCGTGATAGTCTCACAGGATGCTGGAGATTGCTTTGGGGACCCATCGGAACGACAAAAATGTCCATGTTCCTGAAGGAAGCAATGTTACACAAAGAAAACCTTGAGTGCTCACACCACATCAAGTGAAGACCAATCTCTTGGTAAGTCAGAAGAATATGGACTAAAGGCGATGAGAAGAATAACTTATTTAGATAAAATGAATATACACCCTTTGCAAGAAAGGAAACTCTAGGCAGTAAAATGTTCTTGTGAAAAACAATAAAGGTTCAATGACAGGAAAGTGCTGCCAGGTGTGATACCCTTCTGACTAAGGCGATGGCAATAGGAAAACCTACCTTCTGATAAAAGGTTGTAGAAGGGACTCCACATTCACGCGTTTTACCATTATGGCTTAAGCATAGATGTCTACCTCTATGATTAAAGGAGAACTATGAGGTGAGTGCTTTTCCTCTCTCCCACCGCAAGGAAGGTGGAAAAAGAAAAGGTTCCTAGGGAAAGGGAAAAGGAGTTCCTGTACTTTAAAGGAGAACTATGGGATTAAGGCTTTTCCCCATAGTTCTCCTTAGGGTAACGGGAGGACACAAACTAGCGTCCTCCCGTCACCCTAGGCTCAGTATACCGCAAGCTACTGCTCGTGGTATACTGAGACGCCGCAGCTGGAGCGGATCCTGACAATTGTTCCGGGATCCGCCCAGCTGCGTGACTGACAGCTGGCTCTGCCTATCTAGAGGCAGAGCCAGCTGTACCCGCCCCCTCCCCGTCCGTTCCGACCAGTCAGCGCTGGCGGATCGGAGCGGGGAGGGAAGAAACCAGCCCCTCCCCTGTCACGGCAGAGAGCTGTGACAGGATCGAGAGGTGAGCGAACGCCGCTATGTGTTCGCTCACCTCCCGATCTACTGAGCTGACCTGTGACAGTCTCATTGTCACAGGTCGGCTAGAACTATGAGGTGAGTGAAAAGCACCCCCCTCATAGTTCTCCTTTAAAGCGGCAATTCAGAATATTAGCTGCCAGCAAAGTGAAAATGAAAGAGAAAGTGAGTGTTACAGAGTAAAGATAGGTAGAGAATGAAGAGATGAGGCCCACACGCCTGGGATCCCTACCTGGTGAAACACAGCTGACTTTCCTGTCCACAGCCCATTCACCACAAAAGGAGAGCAGAGCACCAGTGATTATCAGAATCTGGGGGTTCACTATGATACTGAGCTGGGTAATGTAAGCTTCCTGTAATATATCCAGGATGTGGAGGAGAAATGTAACACTGCCAACAGCTGAGAACAATGGAATTTTCATCTTCAGTGTCCTGAGCTGGAGAGAGATGTCCTAACTCTTATAGACGTTTAGGTGTACATTTAATATAGCAGAGATATAGCCGGACCATGATTACACACATTTATAAATCTGGATTCCGAAGCCTGTGGAGCACAATTTAAAATAAATGGGGTTGTTCATGAAAGAAGGTGGAGAGACCCAGACAGGTGACCTGTCTTATAAACAAGTCTCCACCAATCATGGAGTTCTCTCTGCTGCAAGAGAACTCCATGAACTACTTCAGGCTCAATACTGCAGCATTTTATGAATGGGCTGCAAAATGCAGGCAATGACACTGAGCAATGCTGGGAGATCCACTCTCAGTTATGAATCAGCTCTAAGCTACACTGGGCTTCCTCGGTTATATCAGGGGTATACCCTCTATGTAAAGCTGTACCTTTTATTATATCTAGTGTCCAACCTCCTAGGGCGGGGCATGCACCCAGAGGTCAGATGCAGTGTCCCCCAATGAACCTTGGGAAAAAGAGCCAAGTGCCTATTTTGGTCTAGGGTCTAAAATAATACATAAATAATGATCTGTCTATGATCTTACCTCGCTCTTAGATCAGTCCCACAGTGTCTTCTCCTCTGGGCTCCAGTGGTCTAAGCTTACCTGATGTCCTTATATTTAATACAATTCTACTGACATGGATCGGACTTGAGGACGCCAAGGGACATATCAGAAGCCAGAGCTTTTAGACCCTAGACCAAATTGAGCACTTAACCCTTGCAGCACGGGGGTAGCTCCACTCCAAGGCTAAGTTTGTAATTTGCCCAGAGTTCTTCTGAAAAAAATTTCAGTCCAGGGTTTTTGGATGTAAACCATCATTCCCCTATGACAATGGACCCAACATTTGTATGTGGAACATTTGATGAGAGTTTATTTGCTGTAAATGACCCCCAACCATCCTAACACCAATCAGGAGATGACGACCCCTTCATCCTACAAAAGGGGAGATGACTTCTTCTGGGGAATCTTCTTCCCAACTTTGATGGTCCAACATTTAGAATTCAGTCTCATCTTATCTGATGATGTGAAGATCTGATAATTCTCCAACATGATCCCTTAAACGTCACACCTTCTACTCAGAAGTGACATAGAACTGTGACCTGTTCCCTCCATAGTGCCTCTTACTTACTTGTGTTGATCGGTAGAGAAATGTCATCCTGATCACTTTTCATCATCATCCCAAACTCCTCCGTGGACGGCTGATCACCCCCCCACATACGTCTCCACTTCTTCCTCTTTAATCTCAGCTTTTATATTGATTCGTTCTTCACCCTAAACCCCAAAATATTAGAAAACATCTAGTAAAGCTGAACTCCGGGGAGATATAAAAGACACAAAGGAATGCAGCTCTGTATTTGTTTTTTTCTTTTTAATGCAAACATTGTTACTACCTGAATGTGACCTGGTATCAGTTTCCTGCAGTCCCTGTACAGCAAAGCTTAGACTGGGAGAGAGGGAAACAGTCTGCTGCTTCTCATTTTACTGTCCAGTCAAAGACTGGGGGAGGGACAAGACCTGTACGTGTTACTGACCTACCAGAGACATATCAGGTCTCCTGCTCTACCCATTTGAGGGCAGGTCTCCTACCTATTTCCTCTGAGCCCGGGAGCCAAGGACCCTCACCGTGAGGGTGCATCATCACGCCAGCATGGACTCACAGAAGTAAAGAACAGCACCACATTTTTCATCATGTGCCCTTTGGAGTATCCATGATGTCACATGACTGGACCCATGGAAGAAAACTTTTGTTTATACATTTTAAAAAAATAATAAAAGTGGAGGGTGGAACAAGGGGAAGCCGAAATGGAGTGGGTGGAATGGGTGGGAGGCTACATTTCAGATGTAAACATTAAACCAAGAGACTACATAGAAGAATGTTGTCTCACAAAGTTCACTTCTGTGTTCTATACACCGAGTCCCACCTACCTGATCATGGTGATGGATGTTCTGATCATCCTGTGTGGAATCCCGGGAATACAGAGGACGGGCCTGAGGGATCTCCTGATGTTCTTGTGTGGAATCCCGGGAATACAGAGGACGGGTCTGAGGGATCTGCTGATGTCCCTGTGTGGAATCCCGGGAATACAGAGGACGGGTCTGACGGATCTCCTGATGTTCTTGTGTGGAATCCCGGGAATACAGAGGACGGGGTCCTCTCTCTGGTGGGTTTGTGTCACTTAATGGCTCCATGATGATATCCTTGAAGGGGTCTTTGTGTCCTTCTGAAAACTTCTCCATCACACCAACCTCCTCCTCCTCTTTTATCTCGTCTTTAAAGGAGAACTATGAGGTGAGTGCTTTTCACTCACCTCATAGTTCTAGCCGACCTGTGACAGTCTCAATGGTACAGTCACCATCCACGCAATGATACAGTCACCATCCACGCAATGGTACAGTCACCATCCACGCAATGATACAGTCACTATTCTGTAATCCTGTTTGAAGGGGGACGATAACAAGGATTACGTGTTCAAGAGTCACGTGTTTGAAAAAAGACTTTCATTAGACAAATCGCTCAGAATATGAGACCTTGTGGGACAGTCCTGCAATTTTGGACACTATCCCACAGTATCAATGCCCCACAAGATCCAGGACATTGTGAAGAGTGGGATTGGCTGCAAGAGCGCTCTCTGCATTCTGCACTTATGCCGGCTCTGCCAAGTGAAATGATTTGCCCGACAGTGACGGCATAGTTCGGATGACCACTGGACACCAAAGCTGAGGTTTAATAGTTCTCTCATAGACAACAATGGGGCTTATTATTGCACCCGCTGACCAACAATGGAAGGAGCTCTATTTCTTGTCTGTCACACTATATGTATTATGTTGTATGTTATATATTCCTGACCCCACCATTAAATGCAATGCTGTACAAAGTCCGGACCACTGCACTCTACATGATATCATGTTCATTGTTTTAACATCTGATTGAAAGTAGTCCCTGGTTATATTAAGTTCTTCTTTCAGCTAGGGTTATATTTTCTATGTAAAAATACAGGTGAAACTCGAATAATTAGAATATCGGCAAAAGTAATAGCAGTAAGTGCTGCAAAAGGGGCCCAAACCAAGTACTGAGTACATATGCATGCTTGTACTTTTCAGAGGTCCGATTATTGTTCTATGTACAATCCTTGTTTTATTGATTGCATGTAATATTCTACTTTTTTGAGGTTGTGGATTTGGGGTTCTTGGGGTTTTCATGAGCTGTAAGCCATAATCATCACAATTATGACAAATCACGGCTTGAATTATCTTGCTTTGCATGCAATGAGTCTCTCTCATATATTAGTTTCACCTTTTAAGTTGCATTAGTGAAATAAATGAACTTTGCACGATATTCTAATTATTCGAGTTTCACCTGTACATATGCAGAAAATGTGAGGCAATGGTCCCTTAAAGGGGAATGTTAAAACAGGTTTTGGAAGGGAAAGGGTTAACCCACCTGCTAGGAGTGGTTTAAAGAGCACAGGAAGCCAGTCTGCAGTGGTCTGTGAGGCGTGTTAGAAGCTGGACACGTGGCTGTGCTAAGTTATGGACTGCTGATTGCTGAGACACCGCTGCTGGGCGCCTGGGACTGTGTTGCAATCTCCTGGAGCTGACCGGGACTCTAACCCTGGTGTTGGAAAAGCTTACTGAGGCCACTGATTCATGTGTCCTGAGGAGGAGTGCTATTTGTTTTATCATTTTGCTGAAGACAAGCTGTTTTATTAATCACTAATTCTGATCACAGAGCAGAGTGGAGAACGAACGTTTCCTGTTCTGCTTCACGCTCTCCATCCTAAACTGCTATAAATGGCGTCTCTGGATGGACGGTTGGATAAATGGCTCTATATTTAGGATGTATCTGGTCTATAAATGGCGGCTCTGGATGGACGGTTGGATAAATGGCTCTATATTTAGGATGTATCCGGTCTATAAATGGGGGCTCTGGATGGACGGTTGGATAAATGGCTCTATATTTATGTCCCTCTGTGATATAAACTATTACAGATATCTCCGTGAATTTGGAGAAGATGATAGATATAAAGGAGGGGATTACCGGGTGTAAATATAAAATAATATCTTCTTACCTCCTCTGCAGCCGGTTCCAGCAATGTCTCCTCTCTACTTCCTCTAACTCTCTCTCGCCCAGAACTTCCTCTCTGTACATTACACCACTTCCTGTGCGTGGGTTCCAGGTGAGATTACCGCCATGTGTTGAATATAAATACTTCAGTCTACGTTATGTCAGAGCTATATACATGTATAATAATAGTGTGTGACTGTGGGGGAGGGGACATTAGAGTGTAAGCTCCTCTGTACAGAGACTGATGTGACTGTAGGGGAGGGGACATAATAGTGTAAGCTCCTCTGTACAGAGACTGATGTGACTGACTCAGTGTCCTCTGTACAGCACTGCGGTATATGTCAGTGATATATAAATGGATCATAATAGGGGGTGTCTGTGGTCAGGTCTGAGGTAAATCTCTGTGGAGAGCAGAATCTACCCGGTGACTCTGATCCCGTCCTTTGATTGGTTCCTGTGGAGGGAGTGGCAGTGGAGGGAATGGCAGTGGAGAAGGTGTGAAACGGGGACTCTGACTGGCTGTGAGGCTCCCCTCAGATCCTTCTATGGGTCACTAAATGTTGCATTTTGTTTTACATTAGTGACAGAAGTGATGGTGAAATGGAAGGGGGGGTTCTGTTTGTGACGATAATGAGGTCTACTAATATTAAATCTCGTATTCTCTTGTCCCCCAGTTCAGAGCAAAATGCAGGCCGCCATTTAGTTAATGTTCTCTCCACATTCCAAAAAACAAAAACCCCCGAGCTCTGCTCATCTGGCCTGTGATCTTTATTGCCCCAGCACTACTTACCAATCGAGAGTCCCAGATCACCCTCTAAGGCTGGGCACACACCTTACAACCATCGCATGACTTTTGTCTTGCGGTGGTTGTGGTCGTAAGGTGTATGGGCACCTTAAAGTGACATTAAACCCTCAGATTTTTTTACATAAACCAATACTGTAATGTGCACCGTACTGTAATCCATGGTAGTTTCCCTTCTCTTTGCTGCTCTTACTTTTAAATCCTCATGTCTTCTCATGCTGGGCAGAACTTCCCTTTACAGCCGAGTGCCTCTTCCTGTGGTGCTGGCTCAGGTTACAAACGTACACACAGACACCGTGTATCTATTCCAGAGACAAGGCAGTCTGCTGCAAAACAGAAGTTCTGCCCAGCATGAGAAGAGAGACGGATATAAAAGGAAGAGCAGCAAAGAGAAGGGAAACTACCATGGATTACAGTAAGGCGCACATTACAGTATAGTTTTATGTTAAAAAATCTGAGGGTTTAATGTCACTTTAAGACTCTGTGTGCTGTGAGTCAGAGCTGTTAGATGGTTGTATCCAGCTTACAGATGTGATTGGTTGCAGGGAGGGGGTGGGCGGGGCTGGCAGAAGCTGAGCTCTCACTCTAGAATCATATTACAAGAGCCGCTCTCCTATTGGTTCCACACTGAACGCACTGAGCTGATTCACACGGATCAGCTCACTCAGAGGAATCCACTCATCCGGATCACTGATAAGAATCCATTCTAAAGAACGATCCGTTCAGGAAGTGGACATCACTAGTAGTGATATATCATACATCAGGTGGTTTGACTTTATATTCACTTTGCAGAAAATCAAACTTTGGACTTTCTTTTTATGTAGTAATATAAATGCATTGTAGCTCAGCGCTGCCACCTTGTGGTCACTCCGGGAACTTGTTACTGAGCGGCTCAGCGCTGCCACCTTGTGGTCACTCCGGGAACATGTTACTGAGCGGCTCAGCGCTGCCACCTTGTGGTCAGTTCGGGAACATGTTACTGAGCAGCTCAGCGCTGCCACCTTGTGGTCAGTCCGGGAACATGTTACTGAGCAGCTCAGCGCTGCCACCTTGTGGTCACTCCGGGGACATGTTACTGAACGGCTCAGCGCTGCTGCCTTGTGGTCAGTCCGGGAACATGCTGGTGAACAGCGCAAGACGATGAATAGTCATTTCTATATTGTTGGATTGTTTCTGCTCTCCGAATGTCTATATAGGATCCGGATACTGGGCTGTAAGGAACGCTGCTGAGACATCTGGAGCTTTAAGGCCGTGACACACTGCACGCGAAGCAGCACGGAGCGGGGGCGCGCTGCCTTTGCGAGCAGTGTGTCATGTCATTTTCTGCTCGGCACCTCAGCTTGCGAGAGCTCGCAGAGCTGAGCGTGCCGAGATGAACAATTTCAACTTCAGCCAATCGGCTCGCGCGTATAAACCAGCGCGTCGCGATGCGACAGCTGGCAGGTTGTTATGGACGAGCCGATTGGCTGAAGGTGCTGTCAATCATTTGACTGCACTCAGCTCACACACTGCACGCAAAGCTCCGTGCCGGATAGCTTTGCTTCGCGTGCAGTGTGTCACGGCCTTTACACGAAGTACAGGAAGATATATTGCTGTTATGTATATCAGTCTAAATGCATTAACTACTACACTACATTAACTACTCCATCGAGTTCGGTGCGGTGCTTTGTATATCAAATTATTGCATTTGCCTTCTCTCAACTTCAATGGTGCCCTTGGATAAACCTCATCCATGAGGGGTGAAGACCTGTACCTTAAGTAATGTGCAGACAGATGTTTATAACTCCCATGTAGGAGGAAATCAAACATTTGGTGGATGTCCATATCAAGCAAGGAGAACTTAGGTCCCAAAATAAATGCCTTTGCTCCTCAGCTCCATCTAGTGGCCATTCAGGGCTGTGACGCTCATTCGCACACTGAATCCAAAGTACTGTTAAAGTTTAAACTCTGGGCTACAACAAAATGTCAGCCCCGTACACAGTAAACCTTCGTTGGCCCTCTAGCGTCTGCTGGGTGACACCGCCCCTCCCTGAAGCTCCAGCTGTGTGCTCCATCCAACGTCCTCTCAGCGGCTTCCTGGTGGCTATAGCGACTACCTGGCGCAGACTCAATGGGCCGTCCTGATGGTCGGCGGCCATTTTCTTGTAGCTCAAGTAGAGACCATATACATTTGTCTAAATGTTCCTCTATTTTCTAACAGCTGCTGGTGGTTGTTGTTTGGCTGCAGGGTGTCTGCTTCTCGAGCTGGAGGTAATAATGTCCTCTAATTGTTATTATGAGTTGGGGAACAGAAAAGGGAATCTAAGCATTTTTCTCTAAAATGGGGATCATGTGACCCTATTAGGTCACATGACTAAACAACTCAGCAGCTGATCTGGGGGTGGAATTGGGTGCTTCTGACTTGTTGCAGCTCATTATTCAGTGATATTAATCATGTAGTAGTTTATCATTGACACCAATATAATACTATAATCCCAGTGGTGGGCAAACCACAACAGCAGAGGTCCTTGTGTGACTTCACAGATGGGTGTTTTTCACCACTGTCCTGGGTACCGGAGGTGTCCCATCTGTAACTCCATCAGTGATCTTTGGTGTCGGTTCTCAACTGAAGGGATGCCCACCCTCGGGGGTCTCTTCTGATGGGTTCAGGAGTACATCCGCCTATTACAGGGGTTCATTCGCCTGTTACGGGGTACATCTGCCCGTTCATTGCCTGACAGGTTCAACAGATCATATAAAACAGGTCTCAGTATATTTTAGACATTTAAAAACACTGAGGGGAATTTATCAAAACTGGAGCAGATATGCACGGCAACCAATCAGCATCCACCTTTCATTTTCAAACCATAACTGAATAAACTGAAGAGAGAAGCTGATTGGTTGCCATAGGCAATTGCGCCAGATTCTTCTGCTCCAGTTTTGATAAATGAATGTGAATGGGCGGCGCTATTTACATATAAAAAAAGCCGCGACTTATTCTCCCCCAAAAATTCCGCGCATCGCTAGAGTTTTCGGGTTTCGCTGGAAGAAAAGGTGGAAACCCTAGATAATGGGGGTTCACCAATCCCCGGACACTTGCCTGTGGTCTTCTTCTGTGGAGGCATCGGGCTCCTGGAAGAGCGAGGTGAGTGTTGGAACCAGGAGAGGGGATGTTGCTCTTCTCAGTAGAAGGGATTAGGTGGCTGAAAACTGTTTGGACGGTAGAGATCTGGAAGTTGTGTGGTAGCGATGGACTAATATAGGTCAGAATGATGTTTTATATAGAGGTGGTTCTCTTTTTAGGAGGTGAACCTCTACTGAAAGAACGGTGGGTGGGCACCTAGTTAGGTCCTAGGTAGTGATGTGCAGGGGCCAAGTTCGCCCAGGCCTGCACAAAATTCATTGACACCCCCCTTCTCTGGACCATTCAATTGCTACAGGGTCAGTCACAGTCCTTTTTTTAACATGTAGGAAAGTCCCAGCCCCAACTGATTGGGTGGGGGGAGGGGGGGGATGTCAGTGACAGTTTTGAGTGGGCATGGGTGAAGTTGGTTTGCACCAAGCCTGGGCATATCACAAATCACTGACCTGGGCTTCTACCCCTCTGACAATGGTGGGAGTCGTTCATCAGATAATCTATTTTTTGGGTTGGTGGGGTACAAACATTCATCCAGCTTGGTGATTCTGTGTAAACTGTTTACTAGTCACGATGGACCTTCGGCCACTTTTTCTTCTTGGATGAATATGGCTCCTCCCCAATCCTTTCCTGAAATTACAGATTAAACATTTTCAATGATCATGTAAGTATGTCTTTTGAGGATAACCCAGAAAACCGGGGGGTGAAGTTCTTCTTTAAGAACGTTGTATATAGCCAATACATTTCAGGGAAGGAGGTCCCGTCCCCCCCTTCTTCAAGGTTTAAGCAAATACACCTTAAATATATCCAGACTGGATTTACTGGTTTCATTTAATTCCCAGGTTTAAGGTTAAAATGAGCTGACTAGTCAGCGGTATGAGTAGTCTCTTGCACTTCCTTGTTAAAAATAAGGTTGATATTGGAATTACAAGCTCCTAATAAGCTCCTAATTAGCTCCACCCCCGAGGAGCTCTCATTTAGAAATGCAGAAACAAATTGGTTCATAGGAGGTTACACTTTGCCAAACATCTTCACTTCACTTTATCTTCACTCATTGCACTGCTAGTAATGGTTGTACGTGTGAGAAGTTCAAGGGTTGGTGTTACCTTATGTGATAACAGAGGATTGTGAAAAGTATCTTCACCTTGTTTTTGACTACTAAAGCAAGCTTTCTTTTCCGCATAGACTTAGGAATGCATATTATGCCAACTGGGAGTATTTAGAAGAACAGGAGGATCTCTACAAGGACGTCATGATGGAGAACCGGCCGCCCCTCACATCACCGTGTAAGAGGAGACTTTCATTTCTTGAGTATTGAGGATACCCCTAGATACACACATCCTCTGATATAAAGACATAGAAACAATGTATTCAGTCAGTGTGTGTGTTTCCTACAGATGGATCCAGGAACAGAAATACCCCAGAGAGATGTCCCCGTCCTCTGTATTCCCAGGATTCCACACAGGAAGATCAGGGGATCCCTCAGACCCGTCCTCTATATTCCCGGGATTCCACACAGGAACATCAGGAGATCCCTCAGGCCCGTCCTCTGTATTCCCGGGATTCCGCACAAAAACGTCATGAGATCCTTCAAGTAAGTGAAAGACATGGTCTTATCTGTGCAATTTTAGGCAACCTACATATTTAAACATTACTTTGTCGATTTTGTAAACAAGAACTCTGCCTGATCTAGATTGATGGGCTGACTGTTATTAAAGTTGAAGATGACGAAATGTTAATGATTGGTGGTGAGGAAGATGAAACCCCTCCAGAGATGAGCACAGGTGAGGAATAAACACTAAATCCCGAAAAGAGTCCCAGATTCTCCTTGTTCAGTCACTACAACAATCTCTTCTTCTCCCCCCTCCTCTGTCAGTAGACAGTAATGGGGGGACGGAATGTTTCTAGTGGGGGGAGTCAGGAGCCATCAGCCTCTATTAGACTCCGCCTCTCCTCCTCACATCATGTAATTGTGTGTTACCAGCCAAGAGATGTGACCAGTCTCCCCCCACACACACTCTCTGGGGTCTCTCATACATCTCAGTACAGGGGGCTTCACTCTCATCTTCATTCACAGACCTAGGAGACACCAGAACTACACATATGGACTTCAATGTTGAGGTGGAGGATGAAGGACATGTAAGGGTTAAAGAGGAGGATCTTCTGGTAGAGATCAGCGAAGGTGAGTAACAAACACTAAATCCATGAAACATGCACAGATTGTTCTTATTCAATGGACACTTTTCATTGGTTGTTTGGTTCTTCACATTTGTCCTTCTGTGTTTTCCTTATATATGTGACACATAATATTTCTCAATGTGATATTATGCATTTTCAGATGGCCTTCTATACACCAATGTTGTAAAGAGCAGCTGGGTACTTTGATGTTCCCGCCTGGTGGGTGGCCACAGAATATATATCCTTGTGTTTGTCTAAATGTTTATCACTTTAATTGAATTGTTGGGGTTTGGTCAATCCCTTAGCTTGTTGTAACCCACTGAGCAGACACTTGTAAGTTTGATCATGTTATAGCTTTAGACTTTTTAACACTATATATGCATTGCCTGCAGTTGGATGCAGTCATAGAAAGACCCCAGAGAGATGTCCCCGTCCTCTGTATTCCCGGGACTCCATACAGGAACATCAGGAGGTCCCTCAGGAACATCATGAGATCCCTCAGGAACATCAGGAGATCCCTCAGGAGGATCAGGTAAATGGGACTGAGGCTATTAAAACGTGTCAAGGCAAAAAGTGAAAGAAGATATGTATGCATCTCTGCAATACAAGTATATTTTTACAATGTTTTATCCTTTTAAACACGCTGCAAGTACAGAAAAATAATGGCAGATGAGCCAGAAATATAGTGTGCTCCTAGCTTCCTCTTTGACAGGACAACACAGTGTATTATTGGCTCTGAATTTAAATGCAGGAGTTGTCAGCCCCGGCTACTTCATTTCTGATGGATTACAAAGAACATCTGCTCTGCTCCATAATTCCTTATCTCTTCTCCCCCTTCTCCTCCCCATAAGCTCTCCTGATCTCCTCCCCTCTCCATAACCTCACCCCCCCTTCTCCTCCACATAAGCTCCCCTGATCTCCTCCACATAAGCTCCCCTGATCTCCTCCACATAAGCTCCCCTGATCTCCTCCACATAAGCTCCCCTGATCTCCTCCACATAAGCTCCCCTGATCTCCTCCACATAAGCTCCCCTGATCTCCTCCACATAAGCTCCCCTGATCTCCTCCACATAAGCTCCCCTGATCTCCTCCACATAAGCTCCCCTGATCTCCTCCACATAAGCTCCCCTGATCTCCTCCACATAAGCTCCCCTGATCTCCTCCACATAAGCTCCCCTGATCTCCTCCACATAAGCTCCCCTGATCTCCTCCACATAAGCTCCCCTGATCTCCTCCACATAAGCTCCCCTGATCTCCTCCACATAAGCTCCCCTGATCTCCTCCACATAAGCTCCCCTGATCTCCTCCACATAAGCTCCCCTGATCTCCTCCACATAAGCTCCCCTGATCTCCTCCACATAAGCTCCCCTGATCTCCTCCACATAAGCTCCCCTGATCTCCTCCACATAAGCTCCCCTGATCTCCTCCACATAAGCTCCCCTGATCTCCTCCACATAAGCTCCCCTGATCTCCTCCACATAAGCTCCCCTGATCTCCTCCACATAAGCTCCCCTGATCTCCTCCACATAAGCTCCCCTGATCTCCTCCACATAAGCTCCCCTGATCTCCTCCACATAAGCTCCCCTGATCTCCTCCACATAAGCTCCCCTGATCTCCTCCACATAAGCTCCCCTGATCTCCTCCACATAAGCTCCCCTGATCTCCTCCACATAAGCTCCCCTGATCTCCTCCACATAAGCTCCCCTGATCTCCTCCACATAAGCTCCCCTGATCTCCTCCACATAAGCTCCCCTGATCTCCTCCACATAAGCTCCCCTGATCTCCTCCACATAAGCTCCCCTGATCTCCTCCACATAAGCTCCCCTGATCTCCTCCACATAAGCTCCCCTGATCTCCTCCACATAAGCTCCCCTGATCTCCTCCACATAAGCTCCCCTGATCTCCTCCACATAAGCTCCCCTGATCTCCTCCACATAAGCTCCCCTGATCTCCTCCACATAAGCTCCCCTGATCTCCTCCACATAAGCTCCCCTGATCTCCTCCACATAAGCTCCCCTGATCTCCTCCACATAAGCTCCCCTGATCTCCTCCACATAAGCTCCCCTGATCTCCTCCACATAAGCTCCCCTGATCTCCTCCACATAAGCTCCCCTGATCTCCTCCACATAAGCTCCCCTGATCTCCTCCACATAAGCTCCCCTGATCTCCTCCACATAAGCTCCCCTGATCTCCTCCACATAAGCTCCCCTGATCTCCTCCACATAAGCTCCCCTGATCTCCTCCACATAAGCTCCCCTGATCTCCTCCACATAAGCTCCCCTGATCTCCTCCACATAAGCTCCCCTGATCTCCTCCACATAAGCTCCCCTGATCTCCTCCACATAAGCTCCCCTGATCTCCTCCACATAAGCTCCCCTGATCTCCTCCACATAAGCTCCCCTGATCTCCTCCACATAAGCTCCCCTGATCTCCTCCACATAAGCTCCCCTGATCTCCTCCACATAAGCTCCCCTGATCTCCTCCACATAAGCTCCCCTGATCTCCTCCACATAAGCTCCCCTGATCTCCTCCACATAAGCTCCCCTGATCTCCTCCACATAAGCTCCCCTGATCTCCTCCACATAAGCTCCCCTGATCTCCTCCACATAAGCTCCCCTGATCTCCTCCACATAAGCTCCCCTGATCTCCTCCACATAAGCTCCCCTGATCTCCTCCACATAAGCTCCCCTGATCTCCTCCACATAAGCTCCCCTGATCTCCTCCACATAAGCTCCCCTGATCTCCTCCACATAAGCTCCCCTGATCTCCTCCACATAAGCTCCCCTGATCTCCTCCACATAAGCTCCCCTGATCTCCTCCACATAAGCTCCCCTGATCTCCTCCACATAAGCTCCCCTGATCTCCTCCACATAAGCTCCCCTGATCTCCTCCACATAAGCTCCCCTGATCTCCTCCACATAAGCTCCCCTGATCTCCTCCACATAAGCTCCCCTGATCTCCTCCACATAAGCTCCCCTGATCTCCTCCACATAAGCTCCCCTGATCTCCTCCACATAAGCTCCCCTGATCTCCTCCACATAAGCTCCCCTGATCTCCTCCACATAAGCTCCCCTGATCTCCTCCACATAAGCTCCCCTGATCTCCTCCACATAAGCTCCCCTGATCTCCTCCACATAAGCTCCCCTGATCTCCTCCACATAAGCTCCCCTGATCTCCTCCACATAAGCTCCCCTGATCTCCTCCACATAAGCTCCCCTGATCTCCTCCACATAAGCTCCCCTGATCTCCTCCACATAAGCTCCCCTGATCTCCTCCACATAAGCTCCCCTGATCTCCTCCACATAAGCTCCCCTGATCTCCTCCACATAAGCTCCCCTGATCTCCTCCACATAAGCTCCCCTGATCTCCTCCACATAAGCTCCCCTGATCTCCTCCACATAAGCTCCCCTGATCTCCTCCACATAAGCTCCCCTGATCTCCTCCACATAAGCTCCCCTGATCTCCTCCACATAAGCTCCCCTGATCTCCTCCACATAAGCTCCCCTGATCTCCTCCACATAAGCTCCCCTGATCTCCTCCACATAAGCTCCCCTGATCTCCTCCACATAAGCTCCCCTGATCTCCTCCACATAAGCTCCCCTGATCTCCTCCACATAAGCTCCCCTGATCTCCTCCACATAAGCTCCCCTGATCTCCTCCACATAAGCTCCCCTGATCTCCTCCACATAAGCTCCCCTGATCTCCTCCACATAAGCTCCCCTGATCTCCTCCACATAAGCTCCCCTGATCTCCTCCACATAAGCTCCCCTGATCTCCTCCACATAAGCTCCCCTGATCTCCTCCACATAAGCTCCCCTGATCTCCTCCACATAAGCTCCCCTGATCTCCTCCACATAAGCTCCCCTGATCTCCTCCACATAAGCTCCCCTGATCTCCTCCACATAAGCTCCCCTGATCTCCTCCACATAAGCTCCCCTGATCTCCTCCACATAAGCTCCCCTGATCTCCTCCACATAAGCTCCCCTGATCTCCTCCACATAAGCTCCCCTGATCTCCTCCACATAAGCTCCCCTGATCTCCTCCACATAAGCTCCCCTGATCTCCTCCACATAAGCTCCCCTGATCTCCTCCACATAAGCTCCCCTGATCTCCTCCACATAAGCTCCCCTGATCTCCTCCACATAAGCTCCCCTGATCTCCTCCACATAAGCTCCCCTGATCTCCTCCACATAAGCTCCCCTGATCTCCTCCACATAAGCTCCCCTGATCTCCTCCACATAAGCTCCCCTGATCTCCTCCACATAAGCTCCCCTGATCTCCTCCACATAAGCTCCCCTGATCTCCTCCACATAAGCTCCCCTGATCTCCTCCACATAAGCTCCCCTGATCTCCTCCACATAAGCTCCCCTGATCTCCTCCACATAAGCTCCCCTGATCTCCTCCACATAAGCTCCCCTGATCTCCTCCACATAAGCTCCCCTGATCTCCTCCACATAAGCTCCCCTGATCTCCTCCACATAAGCTCCCCTGATCTCCTCCACATAAGCTCCCCTGATCTCCTCCACATAAGCTCCCCTGATCTCCTCCACATAAGCTCCCCTGATCTCCTCCACATAAGCTCCCCTGATCTCCTCCACATAAGCTCCCCTGATCTCCTCCACATAAGCTCCCCTGATCTCCTCCACATAAGCTCCCCTGATCTCCTCCACATAAGCTCCCCTGATCTCCTCCACATAAGCTCCCCTGATCTCCTCCACATAAGCTCCCCTGATCTCCTCCACATAAGCTCCCCTGATCTCCTCCACATAAGCTCCCCTGATCTCCTCCACATAAGCTCCCCTGATCTCCTCCACATAAGCTCCCCTGATCTCCTCCACATAAGCTCCCCTGATCTCCTCCACATAAGCTCCCCTGATCTCCTCCACATAAGCTCCCCTGATCTCCTCCACATAAGCTCCCCTGATCTCCTCCACATAAGCTCCCCTGATCTCCTCCACATAAGCTCCCCTGATCTCCTCCACATAAGCTCCCCTGATCTCCTCCACATAAGCTCCCCTGATCTCCTCCACATAAGCTCCCCTGATCTCCTCCACATAAGCTCCCCTGATCTCCTCCACATAAGCTCCCCTGATCTCCTCCACATAAGCTCCCCTGATCTCCTCCACATAAGCTCCCCTGATCTCCTCCACATAAGCTCCCCTGATCTCCTCCACATAAGCTCCCCTGATCTCCTCCACATAAGCTCCCCTGATCTCCTCCACATAAGCTCCCCTGATCTCCTCCACATAAGCTCCCCTGATCTCCTCCACATAAGCTCCCCTGATCTCCTCCACATAAGCTCCCCTGATCTCCTCCACATAAGCTCCCCTGATCTCCTCCACATAAGCTCCCCTGATCTCCTCCACATAAGCTCCCCTGATCTCCTCCACATAAGCTCCCCTGATCTCCTCCACATAAGCTCCCCTGATCTCCTCCACATAAGCTCCCCTGATCTCCTCCACATAAGCTCCCCTGATCTCCTCCACATAAGCTCCCCTGATCTCCTCCACATAAGCTCCCCTGATCTCCTCCACATAAGCTCCCCTGATCTCCTCCACATAAGCTCCCCTGATCTCCTCCACATAAGCTCCCCTGATCTCCTCCACATAAGCTCCCCTGATCTCCTCCACATAAGCTCCCCTGATCTCCTCCACATAAGCTCCCCTGATCTCCTCCACATAAGCTCCCCTGATCTCCTCCACATAAGCTCCCCTGATCTCCTCCACATAAGCTCCCCTGATCTCCTCCACATAAGCTCCCCTGATCTCCTCCACATAAGCTCCCCTGATCTCCTCCACATAAGCTCCCCTGATCTCCTCCACATAAGCTCCCCTGATCTCCTCCACATAAGCTCCCCTGATCTCCTCCACATAAGCTCCCCTGATCTCCTCCACATAAGCTCCCCTGATCTCCTCCACATAAGCTCCCCTGATCTCCTCCACATAAGCTCCCCTGATCTCCTCCACATAAGCTCCCCTGATCTCCTCCACATAAGCTCCCCTGATCTCCTCCACATAAGCTCCCCTGATCTCCTCCACATAAGCTCCCCTGATCTCCTCCACATAAGCTCCCCTGATCTCCTCCACATAAGCTCCCCTGATCTCCTCCACATAAGCTCCCCTGATCTCCTCCACATAAGCTCCCCTGATCTCCTCCACATAAGCTCCCCTGATCTCCTCCACATAAGCTCCCCTGATCTCCTCCACATAAGCTCCCCTGATCTCCTCCACATAAGCTCCCCTGATCTCCTCCACATAAGCTCCCCTGATCTCCTCCACATAAGCTCCCCTGATCTCCTCCACATAAGCTCCCCTGATCTCCTCCACATAAGCTCCCCTGATCTCCTCCACATAAGCTCCCCTGATCTCCTCCACATAAGCTCCCCTGATCTCCTCCACATAAGCTCCCCTGATCTCCTCCACATAAGCTCCCCTGATCTCCTCCACATAAGCTCCCCTGATCTCCTCCACATAAGCTCCCCTGATCTCCTCCACATAAGCTCCCCTGATCTCCTCCACATAAGCTCCCCTGATCTCCTCCACATAAGCTCCCCTGATCTCCTCCACATAAGCTCCCCTGATCTCCTCCACATAAGCTCCCCTGATCTCCTCCACATAAGCTCCCCTGATCTCCTCCACATAAGCTCCCCTGATCTCCTCCACATAAGCTCCCCTGATCTCCTCCACATAAGCTCCCCTGATCTCCTCCACATAAGCTCCCCTGATCTCCTCCACATAAGCTCCCCTGATCTCCTCCACATAAGCTCCCCTGATCTCCTCCACATAAGCTCCCCTGATCTCCTCCACATAAGCTCCCCTGATCTCCTCCACATAAGCTCCCCTGATCTCCTCCACATAAGCTCCCCTGATCTCCTCCACATAAGCTCCCCTGATCTCCTCCACATAAGCTCCCCTGATCTCCTCCACATAAGCTCCCCTGATCTCCTCCACATAAGCTCCCCTGATCTCCTCCACATAAGCTCCCCTGATCTCCTCCACATAAGCTCCCCTGATCTCCTCCACATAAGCTCCCCTGATCTCCTCCACATAAGCTCCCCTGATCTCCTCCACATAAGCTCCCCTGATCTCCTCCACATAAGCTCCCCTGATCTCCTCCACATAAGCTCCCCTGATCTCCTCCACATAAGCTCCCCTGATCTCCTCCACATAAGCTCCCCTGATCTCCTCCACATAAGCTCCCCTGATCTCCTCCACATAAGCTCCCCTGATCTCCTCCACATAAGCTCCCCTGATCTCCTCCACATAAGCTCCCCTGATCTCCTCCACATAAGCTCCCCTGATCTCCTCCACATAAGCTCCCCTGATCTCCTCCACATAAGCTCCCCTGATCTCCTCCACATAAGCTCCCCTGATCTCCTCCACATAAGCTCCCCTGATCTCCTCCACATAAGCTCCCCTGATCTCCTCCACATAAGCTCCCCTGATCTCCTCCACATAAGCTCCCCTGATCTCCTCCACATAAGCTCCCCTGATCTCCTCCACATAAGCTCCCCTGATCTCCTCCACATAAGCTCCCCTGATCTCCTCCACATAAGCTCCCCTGATCTCCTCCACATAAGCTCCCCTGATCTCCTCCACATAAGCTCCCCTGATCTCCTCCACATAAGCTCCCCTGATCTCCTCCACATAAGCTCCCCTGATCTCCTCCACATAAGCTCCCCTGATCTCCTCCACATAAGCTCCCCTGATCTCCTCCACATAAGCTCCCCTGATCTCCTCCACATAAGCTCCCCTGATCTCCTCCACATAAGCTCCCCTGATCTCCTCCACATAAGCTCCCCTGATCTCCTCCACATAAGCTCCCCTGATCTCCTCCACATAAGCTCCCCTGATCTCCTCCACATAAGCTCCCCTGATCTCCTCCACATAAGCTCCCCTGATCTCCTCCACATAAGCTCCCCTGATCTCCTCCACATAAGCTCCCCTGATCTCCTCCACATAAGCTCCCCTGATCTCCTCCACATAAGCTCCCTCTCCTGATCAACTCTCTTCCTCTCCATAACCTCTCATCTCTCCCCCCCCTTCTCCTCCCCATACGCTCTCCTGATCAACTCTCTTCCTCTCCATAACCTCTCATCTCTCCCCCCCCTTCTCCTCCCCATACGCTCTCCTGATCAACTCTCTTCCTCTCCATAACCTCTCATCTCTCCCCCCCCTTCTCCTCCCCATACGCTCTCCTGATCAACTCTCTTCCTCTCCATAACCTCTCATCTCTCCCCCCCCTTCTCCTCCCCATACGCTCTCCTGATCAACTCTCTTCCTCTCCATAACCTCTTATCTCTTCCGCCCTTTTTCTCCCCATAAGCTTTCCTGATCTTCTCCCCTCTCCATAACCTCTTATCCTCTCTTCCCCCCTCCTCCCCTCCATCACTTTTCATCTCTTCCCCCTTTCTTCTCTCCATAAGCTCTCCTGATCTTCTCCCCTCTCCTCCTCTCCATAACCTTTCATCTCTTCTCCTCTCCTCCATCAGCTCTCATCTCTCCCCCCCCACCCCTCCTCCTCTCCATCAGTGGCGTGCAGTACCTCTTGCTCCGGGTGAGGCATTCCCCAGCCCTGCTCCCCGCCAGACTAAGCCCCGCCCCTGCCAGACTAAGCCCCACCCACAACCCGTCCCCAAGCTAGTGTAAAGGAGGAAGGGAGGCGACACTCACTTGCTCCTCACTGCTGAGGCACTCCGTCCATTACGGGTTACACAGCGGAAAGGATTTCTCTGCTGTGTAACCTGTTAGATGCCGATCTGAATGGAGAAAAAGCTGTCAGCTACAGAGATGAAGCTGACAGCTTTTTCCTCCATATTTCTAGGTGAGGCTCTGCCTCACCTGTCTCCCCTGACCGCACGTCCCTGCTCTCCATAAGCTCTCCCCCTCCCTTCTCCCCTCTATAACCTGTCCTCCTGTCTTCCCCCCTCTTCCTCTCCGTAACCCCTCCTTGTGCACAGCCACAATTTGCATCTATTTATGTCATTTCAGAGTGAAGATTTTACAGTCATTGTCAAATCAGAAGAGACAGATACGAGCAATGATGAGTCGTGTGAGGAGGAGGAGGAAGTTTCTCCAGAGATCAGCACAGGTGATGAATAAATTCAAGCTCTGCAGGGGCTGGGTATTTTTATGTTCTAAGGGGCGGAGAATATATGCCAATTGGAAGTTGTGTACACCTCAAGTTCTAGCGGTGGGGTAGTTATTCCTTTGGAAACCTATGTATTCCTCAGGTTCTGCAGGGGCAGGAAAAAATGTTTTCTCAGGATGGGGCAACTTATTATTGAAAGGGGTGTACTATTAAAGTTCTGCATTCTAACTGGAAGCTGTGTACTCTTCAAGTTCTACGGGGTGTAGTTGGTAATCTGGTGGAAGGCTGTGTACTTCTAAAGTTCTGCAGAGGCGGAGTATTTATACCTAAATGCAGGATATGTATACAACTTGCATGCTGTGGACCCCTCAAGTTCAAAGAGGTGGGGTAGGTATTCAAATTGAAAGGTGTGTACTTAGTTCTGCAGGGGTTGGGCATTTATTGTAATTGGAAGCTGTGTACCCTTTAAGTTCCAGGGAGTGGGGAAGGTATTCCTATGGGAGGCTGTGTACTCCTAAAAATCTGCAGGGGTGGGGTATTTGTTCCTGAATTCAGGATATGTATTCTAATTGTATGCTATGTGGTCCTCAAGTTCCAGGGGGTGGGGTAGGTATTGCTATTGAAAGGTGTGCACTCCTAAAGTTCTGCAGGGGCGGGGTATAATTATTCCTGTGTTCCAATTGTTTGCCAGTTATATGTTGTGTACGCCTCAAATTCCAGGGGTGGAGTATTTATTCTAATTGAAAGCTGTGTACTCTTTACATTCCAGGGAGTGGGAAAGGTATTCCTATGGAAGGCTGGGTACTTATACTTCTGCAGGGGCAGAGTATTTATACCTAGGTTCCAAGGGTAGGGCATGTATTCCAAATGGGAGCCTGTTTACTTCTCAAGTTCCAGGGGGTGAGGTAGGTATTTCTATGGAAGCTCTATAATGACAGTGGGCTGAATGCAGAGCACTTCTTTCCAATGATTCCTATCCCCCGTATATTTTTTTCCTCCAGATGGACAATACCTAAGGGATGACTTGACTCAGAGCTCCAAAACCTCTTCAGGCAATGACACAGACGATGACGGCAATGTATCTGACCCTTCAGAAGAAAATCCAGTTAACCCAAATATTCATTCTAAGTGCCTTCCCAGCCGGTCACAAGAAATATTTCCATTTTCCGAGTGTGGGAAACGTTTTACCTTGAGAGCCAAACTGGCCGTGTACCAGAGATCTCACCCAGATGAGAAGCCGTTTTCCTGTTCGGAGTGCGGGAAGACGTTTAGGCAAAAGTCAAAGTTCGCTAAACACCAGAGATATCACAGATCTCAGAAGGCCCTTCCCTGTCCCGAATGCGGAAAATGTTTTACTCAAAAGTCGCTCCTTGAGATACATGAAAGAGTTCACACCGGGGAGAAGCCCTTTTGCTGCTCGGAGTGCGGGAAGCGTTTTTCCCAGAGCGGAAGCCTTATCGCCCACCAGAGGATTCACACCTCTGTCAGGCCGTACGTGTGTTCTGAATGCGGGAAATGTTTCACCCAGAGACAACAGCTCACGTTGCATCAGAGAACTCACACTGCGGAGAAACCGTTTTCTTGCACCGAATGTGGGAGGAGTTTTAGCCAAAGAGTAACCCTTATGTTACATCAGAGAACTCACACCGGTGAGAGGCCATTCTCCTGTTCAGATTGTGGGAAGAGCTTCACCAAAAGGCCTAGTCTGGTCGCTCACCAAATAATTCACCTCAGCGATCGCCCGTTTTCCTGTTCTGAGTGCGGAAAGTCTTTTACCCGCAAAGGAAGTCTAACGACACACCAGAGATCGCACACAGGGGAGAAGCCATTCTCATGCTCGGAGTGCGGGAAAAGGTTTACAAGGAAAACGTCCCTTTCATCACATATGACTAACCACAGGGTACAAGAGGGCCTTGGTTGATCATCTGACAGCTAACTGTCCTCATACTCGCGTGCCTTTCATAGAAATTCAGGACTCCGTGTTTTTATATTCCTTTATTCTTTGGCAGACATACAGACCGAGTTATATTATGGCCCAATAGGCTGGATGGCTGCTGAGACCATGGAAACATACAACTCTTACTGTGACCTCTCAATGAATAATAATCCATCAATTTCAGTTTTATAGCTTCACCATCTGGTAAAGAGAAGTCATATACAATACAATAACAATCCCACTCCCTGGTGTGTAATCCCATTTTTCATTAAGGTACTTAAGATAGAGGCTTAGTGGCCAGAAAAACAGAAAGCCCACTCTTGCAGCAGCAGTCCTCCCAAGAAGGGAACCAATTTCCCTGAGCCTGGATTCACACTTTTTGCCTAATACATTGAGACTTATGGAAGCGCAGGTCAGTGCTCACTAGCATGCAATTTGATGCCTTTCTATTGATTCCAATGAAAAAGGCATCAGGGGAAAATACAATGGTGTAAGTGGGCTCTTAAATAGTCGGACTTCTTGTACTTGGCTTATGTGGCCTGTCACGTGGTCTACACCCAAGGGAAACCTACTTCAAAGACGGAGCTGCACGCATATTACAATCGATCTTGGCGACATCGCTGGGACCACTTGTACTCAAACACCGGCTTCCCCACTTTACATTTAGCCCTGCTTTCCTGAAGCAGGGCTAAATGTATCACACAAAAATACCGGCCGTCTGTCTGTGCCGCCCCTCTACTCCCTGCCGCCCCGAGGCACAGCCTCAGTGGACTTGTGGGAAATTCGGCCCTGGTCAGCATATTACATGTAGGAGAAGTCAGATTGTTACAGGCTATAGGTTTATATAGACCTAATATGGTCCTCTATCTGTTTCCTAGACCCCCTGTGTTGCCAGGGGCAAAGCTGACAACAGGCAGGACTGATCCAGAGTGATGCAAGTCCTCAGATGGTTAGAGCAAATGCCAGACACTAGCAGAGTTTGCGGACTAATGGGGACGTCAGGTGTAGAGTCCACATTCCAGCTAAATAGATCAATGTCAGACAATAGCAACGTTACCAGGGGCCATGATCAGGATGAGCACAGACAAGTTGGGTACAAACAAAGCACCGGAATAATCCAACCATAAATCAGGCAGAAGTCAAAGAAACATGGACCTCTTATCCATGGCATGAGCCAAAAGACAAACTTGCTGGTCAGATGCAGATTTAAGGTTCTGGACTCGCTTTAAAGACAACTAAAGAGATCAGGCGTGCACATGTTTCTTCCATTCCCTCCTATTCTGTGTGCACTTTTATTATTTACTTATCAGAATGTAAGAAAAAAATATATTGCTTGACAAATGAAATGTATTTTTATGTCTGTACATACGCTGGCACGAGCAAACCCCGCCTCCAACTATATAATTACCGCCTACAGACAATAATGACAAGTGATCATCATATATATTTACTGGCAAATGTCTGTAAAGAGTCATGACCAGGTGGCTTCTGATATTCCCCCGACCCCGCAAGGGTACCCCCAGCAAGGTATACTCACCCATCTGGATTTTCTTATTGCCCCCTGCCCGCTCTGTGGGAGCCCTCCCTCCCTCCATTGGTCTTACATACACTATCACACTGTTGGGGGTACTCTGGGTGGACTCCTGCAGTGGGGAGGGCGATGTGGATTGTTGAATATACCTTGCTGAAGGGGGAGGTTTGATATGGACTTGATGATCATATGTAATGGGAATCGTAATGGATAGTGCATCTGAGCCCTGCATGTAAACAGAGGGGTGGGATGCTAGTGACATCAATGACCTTATATGGCTGTATCAGGTCAATGCCATCGACCAAATATTGCCTTATGACCACATAATGTATCCAGCATCGACAACCCTTAGGTTATATGCAGCCCATGGCCGCAGCACTGATGGTCCAATCAGTGATATGGGCTTGATAATCATATGTAGTGGGAATCATAATGGAAAGGGATAGCCCATCTGAGACCTACATGTAAACACAGGGCTGGGATGGAGGTGACATCATGGACCTTATATGGCAGGTCAAAGTCATTGATCAAATATGGCCATGTGACCACATAAGGTGAATGATGTATCGGCCATTCCTTTGTTTATGTGCAGCTGTGGGAAATGCCCCAGCTGCTGCTGATTGGGCTGGCGCTGATGGCTTCATTCTGGGTTTGGAGGAGCTGGGGTTCAATCCGTATCTGCTGGACATTCTGCTTTCTGGACGAGGCTTGAATGAGCAGGTGTCAGTCTCTTCAAGGGACAACTTTACTTTTTGGCATGAATGGGGGGAATCAATGGATTACGGCGTGTGTATGGCCAGCATTAGAGTGACGGGCGGCCTCGTTGACCAATAGGGATGAAGCTTTACTTTCTAGCCATATGTCATCCCCACCATGGGTGTTGGAAGGAAGAGCTGTCCTTGTGCCCCCCCCAATCACACTTCTGACTATTGAACCGATAGTGAAGGTCCAGGTTCCATTCCACCTCCATTCTTTTTACATAAAATGAAAGATGCATGCAGCTCCCACAATTCCCCTCTCTGGAGATTTATAACTGCTCATGAATATTCATATGCTTCAAATCCCACCACTTGCAGCATTATTATTGTTAATATTAAATCCTCTCTGCCACCGTCCTTCCGCTCTGTGGCTCACCTACTTCCGCTGTGTGCGTTCCACGGTCGCCCAGCTGTTTCCTGGCTGCCATAGCGACGTCGACTCAGTGATTGGACAATAAAACATGGAGCCGAGAGTGACTTGAGAGCCCGTTTATTACAGTGTGGCGCCAGAGCCACCACTAGAGGGCGACCGTCCGCCGTTTGAGAGATGGAATTTGTTCTCGGCGGCCATGTTTTTGTAGACCACAGTAGCAAGAAGGAGGGGTAGTTTTCGTTCATGAATCACACTGCAGGGGGTGTGAGGCTGCAGTGTGTGTGTGCCCGATGTGGAGGAGGTAATAATGTCTTCTTATTATGAGAGGAGGAAGAGGGTCCCAGCACTGTCTGTGGACAGGATGGGGGGGGGATCATGTCACCTCACCTAGATGGTGAGCTCTGCTGGGGGTTATGGTTCTGGGTGAGTATGCTCTGAAAACCTGTGACCTGCGTACACCTACCAATGTGATTTGGGATTTGTATGGAGCCTGGCAGTATAAAGCTCCATTCTCTCATCTCCACATTGGCCCATTTTTAATGAGAGTGGTGTACCAATAGACGTTAGATGATGGTGTCCCAATCTAGCAGGTCCCAACCAGATCATTCCACTATCGCAGCCACTGCCAAAATCTCCCAAGGACAATTATTGATCTTCCTTCTTGGAACTATCACCATTCTTCCCCTTGGTAAGAGGTGGGGCGTCTAACAGTGAGCTCCTACTCCATGTTTTATGACAACGTAAACAAGTGTATGGTGCCATCAGGAAATATAGAGATGAAAGAGCAGTCAGGCTGTACCTGCACCACCAACGTGCCGCTGATGTCTACAGCTGCCCACGCAGAGGGATCATACCTAGTAAACTCTTCAATATTTTTAGAAATATGTTTTAAGATTTGATTTCATGATTGATTTGACTCTGAATTTACTTTATCAGTCAATTGCAGTTCAAGCATTACAAACCAACCAAGTATGGACTTAGACACACAGAGGAGTGAGAGTATATAGAAGGACATGGGGATCTATATAAAGATGTCATGATGGAGAACCGACCTCCCCTCACATCCCCGGGTAAGAGGAGACTTTCATTTCCTGAGTATTGAGGATCCCCCTAGATACACACATCCTCTGATATAAAGACATAGAAACAATGTATTCAGTCAGTGTGTGTGTTTCCTACAGGTGGATCCAGGAACAGAAATACCCCAGAGAGATGTCCCCGTCCTCTGTATTCCCGGGATTCCACACAGGAACATCAGGAGATCCCTCAGGAACATCAGGAGATCCCTCAGACCCGTCCTCTGTATTCCCGGGACTCCACACAGGAACATCAGGAGATCCCTCAGGAAGATCAGGTAGATGGAGATCAGAACTGTATATTAACATTGTGATTATTACAACACAAAGATTGCTCTTATATTTATTGTCAGTCAATTGAATAAGATAACATTTTAAATATTTTTTATTGTTTTCTGGGTTACGTAGGATGAAAACAATATTCTCTCTGGGACAGAAACTACAGATAATCCAGAAGAGCCATCTGTGAGAGGTGATGAGCCGTGTAAGGAGGAGGAAATCCCTCCAGAGATCAGCACAGGTGAGTAATAAACACTAAATCCAGAAAAGTGTCCCAGATTCTCCTTGTTCAGTCACTACAACAATCTCTTCTTCTCCCCCCTCCTCTGTCAGTAGACAGTAATGGGGGGACGGAATGTGTTTAGTGGGGGGAGTCAGGAGCCATCAGCCTCTATTAGACTCCACCTCTCCTCCTCACATCATGTCATTGTGTGTTACCAGCCAAGAGACGTGACCAGTCTCCCCCCACACACACTCTCTGGGGTCTCTCATACATCTCAGTACAGGGGGCTTCACTCTCATCTTTATTCACAGACCCCGGAGACCCTCAGAAAAAAGTAAAAGATGAGGAGGAAGAAGAATATGTGAGAATTCGGCAAGAGGAAGCAGAAGAGTCGTATGCGAGAAATGATGAGATGTGTGTGAGGTGTGAAGAACTATGTGTGGGGATAGAAATCCCTCCAGAGATCAGCTCAGGTGAGTCACTACAGCAATTCTTCTCCTCTCTGAATGAATGAGTCAAGTGGTTGAGTCATTGGCCATATGTGCCCATTACAACCTTGCTCCCTTTAGTCCAGTGTCAGCACTGCGTATGCAGAAATAATAAAGGGTCAGCTCATGTTTCAGTAACAGGTGGAATCTGGTGGACCCACAGATCTGGGTGTTCCCATCTCCTTTTCTGGGTTTCCGCATTTCC